AACAGCCAACGCACATAAATTGCAAAATGACCCGTTCACTATATCAAATTCCGTACCTTGAACTCCTTGCGCCCCGAAACACGCGTTGCCACATCACGTGTTTCGGGGCGCAATGAAACAAAGTGTCAAGATTGGTGTCATCCTACGTTGGCAGCGTTTATCGTATGCGGTCCCTTGCAGTTTCTGTTTCTCATTTGTGAAATTAAAGCCCGAAGAAAATTATCATGTGCCACCAGTAATCAAGAAATAGCAACATCGTTCCCAGGGTCTCTCATCTTCCCGCCCCGAGCCTCTCCTCTCTCGCTCCAGGAGGGCTAGACTACGAGTAGTCGGTTTTTGTTCCTGAAATCCTCCGCGCGCGGAACTCAGTTAATAGAGAGGTTAAGCATGACGTTAACGGCAGACAGCAAACGGCAAAGACAACTTCTGATTTTCAGTTCTTTTCTTCTAATCCGTAAATAAAGCCCACAAAAATGTAATAACGTCTCCTACTATTCATTGGAAATACAAATAATTTCACTCTACTGTACACACAGCTGAAGAGAGATGACAAAAGTTTCATTTTTGCCGTTTGCCGTTTGCCGTAAACGTCATGCTTAACCTCTCTAATATTATGCAAATGACGGAAAGAAACGAGGAGGGAATGGGGATAGGCAGGGGAAAAAACCCTCTTTTTCCTTTTTCCCCCGCGCCCGCGTTTCTCACGGCTTGATCGCTCTAAGAAACGTAAGGAAGACGCTAGGAAAAGAAAGTGACTGCTCGCAGACTACAGTTGGGCGGGAAGATGAGAGACCCTGGGAACGAGTTTGAAGAAATAGCACCACTCAGTTCAGTAATATACTAAAATTGTTTCTAGCTACGGTCTAAGAATCATGCAGAAAGCGCGGAATTATCGCATGCTATTCAGGGCAAGTTGAAGATGTCGTTCATACATGAAACAAACTAAGGAGAGAAACCTATTGGCTGCTAATGAGTCCATTGTTGTTCTGGCTATTCTCGGGGATGCCGGTCGTACCTTTTAGGGGTAAAAAGAGGCGGTTTTGGTGCCTCTTAGTATTTTTTTTGTAATTGTCGTTTTAAAACTCTGCTGATCAATTCCCCTTTGGTTTTCCTTTGTGCAATGTCTTGAAAACTATTCGTGACCCTCTTGCTTCCTTGGCAGTCTGTACTCATCGGAAACGTCGACCCGTTCAGGGAACCAATCAAAATTCTCGACCGCGCAGCGAAAACTAGAGCAAAATTGACGGAGAAGAGGATGGTGGGGCGAACTCGCCGGAACGCTAGCTACCCAGGCTACCCTGGTGAGTAGTGTGCGTGCTTCAGCCTGAGGTCGGCAAAAGATATAAGAATATGCAGAATTGGTCTGAAAAATGTATATATTTTGTTCGCTATATAAAAATCACGTTTAAAAAAAATGTATTATCACTCTTTTCCCTAATACGTTTGCACGGTTCTCATGGAAATATGACCTGGGAGGCTCCCCACGGGACGCCCTGGCCAAGTGCGCGGCGAGACTGGGAACTGGTTTAGTTACTCCGGATGAAAACGAAGCAGCGTTCTGCTGCAGCTGCTTTGAAATTACCATGGGGAACGAACTTATTTTAATACATTAACTTCTGATGACTGCGGCGACGTACAAATATTGGCAGAAAGTCACTCTTTTGTACTTAACTCTTTTGTACGTAACAAATACAGAGCGGATTTGATAAGAGTAACAGCATCCGCGACTAGAACGCGGAAAATGGTGGCCTTTCGCGTAAAATTGTGTTCGAGTTTATTAACGTTTTTACTTGTTTTGAATTTGGGATCAGCGCTTCCTGATAATCAAAGAAGCGATGATGATTTGACACAAGAAGTTGTATCCTCTATGAACAGAGTTCTTAACTTT